GATAAAAGGCGCGATGTTGTGTGTTATTTTGATATTCATATATCAATGATAGAGCAAAAATATGTAATTTTCTTTAGACTTTACTCGTAAAGTTATATGGTACTTTTACATGACGACATTATGACGTATTTTTTTAATGATAGGCATATTATGTTGATCCCGGATCTTTTAAGGACAAGAAATAATAACGCATACCGCGACTTTGTATTGTATTTTTGTATAAAGCACAAGTTGCAGATTTGCGGAGGATGAAAATTATTTTATACTACGTACTATAGTAGCTATGCTCTATAAAAGCAATTATGATCTTCAGTTTTAAAAAAATACTGATACGGCCAAAAATCTATTTCTTTATTTTCTTGCAAGTTTTGTGCAAAATCATTGGCCGGGTGATCGCAAGTGCGAATGCTGGGCAAGGGGTCTCTGGTTCGATTGCGGTTCGGGCAAAATATTACTGGGTTTTTTGAAAATATATCAGTAGTAGGCAGAGCATAGACATGTGTCCGGTATATGGCAATAGGCTTACCCTCTATTACATGGGACTCATAACATAAATAGTGAAAAGTGGGTGTTACGTTGTACAGTGGCATTAACTGCCATAATGTGCACCTCTGCCTACCCCTTCGGGGATAAATGGAGTGATGTTATGAATGTCATATTCTCCTTCAAAAACAGGAACTTATTGTTTCAGTAATGGTCTGAATCAATTCTTCTGTTTACCTATTACATAACAGCTCCTTCACTCAATGGTATCAACATACATTATTCCGTAATTGATTCTTATTGTACATATATGGAGCCGGCCATCAAAACATAATTTATAATGTATCAACTAGACTAGGTAATCGGCACACATCACTGTTTTAAAATTATATAACGGTGATTCTATTGAAACCATATGACTGAATTCACACACGACAAGTGGATAAGATAGAATGATTGGCATGGTGTCTGGACTGACTATAGTAAAAATGTTAAAATGGAACAGGACAATTTTTTGCAAGATTAATACATTTCTTTTAGGTTCTTGTCTACCGTGACACAGAAGAAAATTATATTGAGGAGCAATGCTTTTTAACAAGATATGCCTAAGAATTACTGATCAGTCAGTTGATAGCGACCTCCGACCAATCAGCAGCTCCTAATTGGCATTAACACTTTTTGATGTTGTTAAATGTATTATTTATAATCTTGAACAACTGCTAGCAATCCACCATATTTTCAATATAATAAGTTTCTCCAAAAAGTACTCAAAGTCTTCTTTTTCTAACTTCATGGCATCCTTTATTAAAAATACATCAGCACTCCTGTAACATCTGATTGTTAAGCAAACAGATAAACTGGCAGCAAATAAATTGAATTCCAAATTCAATTTTATAAATAATTTATTTTTCATACATTAATATTATTAGCGGCAATATTGACTACAGGTAGTTCAATGTTTATTGTAAAAGAAACCTTATTTTTTTGGAAATAAGAGTTAATTTTGATTTTTTTTTTTTGGTAATATTACTGGTAATTCTCATTCACCATGGATAATTAACAAAATAATGAAAACGATAATAGGTATATTTGCTTTGATTTATTTTGATGCGGTTAAAATCATCTATCAAACCTTTTTGTGAGTAAAATGTCTTTATAAAACTGAAATCGTAGTTTCATGCGTATAACACAATGCTCCTTTATAGCATTCTTTTATTAATAAATTTTTTTTTATTTTTGTATAGAGTACAAAATTAAGGCTAATATGTATGTACTCTATTAAAACAGCTCTTAATTAGGGTATAGTCAGTAGCAGTCTCAATATGACACTGCATACACTATGAAAATTATTATCTTTACTGAAAGCAAGTTAAAGTATGGACAAGATCTACACCAATAAGGTCCAAAATAATAAAAAAATCTTTATCAAACCGACAACTGATAATAATAGAGCTGATATAATAAAATTCTGATATCACCCAATTATCAGTTTCAAATCACCAGTAATTGCAGCACTAATTGTATAGTTCTACATGACTTAACATGTGAAACAGCTTTCATTGTTCACCTTTTACTTTATACTTAACAGACTACACAATCACTCTCAATCTTATTATTATTTAAAAAAAAAATCACTAAATAATTTTTATATGAAGAGGTCCTGCATTTAATCGAAGCCGTATAGCGTAATCATATGGCCGTATGCATGTGAAATCCGTGCTATAAAACTAATACAATTAAAAAAATAAATTGGAAATTACTAAAACTAGAAAGTCAACTCAAGACATTCATTGTTTTACGATCGCCTGTGGTGACGCAATGGTTACTAGTATAGAGAGATTATAGATATTAAACGTTTCTAAATAAGTAAATCTAATAGATGTTACATTACAGTAAATAATTATAATCAAACTTACCAATTTTTGTTGTTATTGTGTTTCCTGTCCCCTCAATCAGTAGAAAGTAACTTCCTCTTTTAACACAAAGAAACAAAAAAAATAAAGCACACACTGAATTGTTTCACAGAACAGATAGGTCCGAAAATTTTTGATAGCAAACGAATAAGAAACTCCGCAATATTTCCATTCAATAATAAATAAATCCAATCGTATCGCGAAGCGTTTCGTTTCGATCGTTTGACAGATCGTAGGATCGTAGACAATAATACTAATTTAATTATTTTTTGTCTGTGATTGAAATTAGTGTAAGGCCTGATTTGTTAGTAGATTTGTGTTTACATTAAACTAAGATTTACATTCTTCCAACGTTTAGACAAGATAATAATAACGTAATATAGTAATTATGATTGTTTTAAGATTGATAGTATTTGATTACTTTCCTATTATTTCACTTTTACATAGAGTAAGCTACTGCGACCTAAAATAATTTAATCGATTAAAAACTAAGATTTTACATCCCTATCTAGAATGTGATGTTATCACAGATAAGGCGAAATCTATAGAGAGGACTTTATCGATTTTAGTGTCTGAAGATGTCGGTACTTTACGGTTTTAATTATTCATTTTACATGTCCATATTATAAATTGTCGAGCTTAAAGATAAATAATGACAGCTAATATAATGATTACTAATTTTGTCATATTAAAATATAATAGTGTTATTTTGGTATATCCAAGGTTTAATGTAAGGGAATGAGATGTGGCTGACAACATTTTTATTGATTTTAAAGAGTCTACGAGTTAAACTTGTTTATTTCATAAAATGACAGTATTTTACATTTTTCTTGGATATTGTATTGTTTTAAGTACTTATGAAGTACAAGAAACCATTGCAGAACAAGCTCCAGTAGCTTTTACTTTCAAAGAATACCAATACAAAGATACACCAAAAAACGTAGGTTGACTATTAACAAAAGTTGTGCACTGCGGCATTTATTTCATCAATGATGTTTATTTACTCTTCAGTATTTCTAATTTCAGGAGATGACGTTCAGAGAGTTTGAGACAGCATGTGAGCAAAGTGGAGCATGCAGTCAAACCACAGGACTTCTAAAAACACGATGCGTCAGAGAATGTGTATCACCTTCATGCTATAGGGAACTTTACCAAGACGATGCGGTACGACGATGCACAAGGAAACATTATTACTCTAATATTTTATCATATATTCATTCATAACATAATCCAACTGGACTCAGGAGGCAATGCAATGATATTTTTGTATGTGTTTTCAGCTAGAGGAAGGTGAAATAGATGTTAGACTAAACTCTTTCAAGGGATGTTTCATACAGAGAAGTGGTCGAACAAGAAATTGATTTCGTCCAAAAATAGTATCTATACTGGTACTATGTGCTAACAAAATTGTTAAAACCCGTCGCAAAGTACGTTTCATGTTGTTAGTAAGTATTTATGAAACTTTAATCCATTTATAGTTTTAGCGATGAGATCTTACGGTAAATATTGTTAATGTTTACTTTTTAATATTACTTATGTTTACGGCGAAAATTAAAATATTTCACAATACATTTTTGTTTCAGCTTTTTCAGACAACAGTAACAGACAAATTGACATTCATAAATAGTGCAATACGAAAATTGTTTTAAATCTTTCACGCCCGACAAAAAGATAAATCTATTTAATAAAAAATAATTCAAATAAATGATTGCTATACAACGACGCGTTTGCTTTATCAAAAGGTCTAATTAATAAGGTACAGTATACACAATTTCTAAGACAGATGTTGGCTAGCATACAACAGCATTGATTTCACAAGCAGCTTTTACAAGTAGAATTAATTACCAATTATGTCTACTTTATATGAACATTAAAGAAAAGATAATCACGAAAGCTGAAACTTTTGTTTTATTTTGTTCACCTACTTCACAAGGACAATTATTAATATCTACTATTTACTAATAAAAAAGTCTCAGTACATATGGTTCTGAAACTTAAAATGTAATAAATGGGAACAGGGAAATAACAAACCAAGTACTTTTTTCAATAATCCGATCCACCGATTATTGGAACTTTATTTTGGAGACAGTATTCTATATAGTTAAGTAAAGATTCTTTTAGAATCAATTTGTCATGAAAATGGTTTATTAATTTAATACCTTATTAATATTTATTATTATTAATGTAAATTAGTTAATGTAAATGTGGTGGTAAAAAAAACACGAAACTTAGAAACTTTCACATTTATAATATTAGTAAGATATTTATTTTATACTTTATTGCACACACAGAAAAATGTCTACACATTCCTTTTTTAATAGAAAAAAAAAACAATTTTACATTTTTTCTTTTTTTTGACCTTGTGTTGTGTTGATGTTTCATTTCACAATCTACAGAGGGCGCTTTACAAAAAATGCTAAATTAATTAAATAACTTTAATAAACCTTATGATTAACAAAATACATATAAAATTAAGATTTTATTCGATGTTTATAGCAGTAAACGTAATATGCGCTTGTATTATAATATTATTCAGAAAAATCACTAACATTAATATCGGTTTTCCGGTTAGTCAAAAATTTTCATAGAAATTTACGGTCTTGCCTCTCTCTAGTTTATACGAAAAAAATTGTTTCACTTGCATTCGTGAAAAGCGGTCTAGTGAAAAAATCAGCACAATGGCATCCTTATGCAGGCAAATTGTTAGAGGAAATGCATTTAAAAGTGTTCTTTTATCCACTGCCCGACGGGGATATGCCGACAAAAGTAAGAAAACTTATATTTTCAGTACAAGTTTTACTTGAATCGCCATCCCTGTCACTTTAGTTACGTAATGTCAAATTTCCCGTAAAATTTCATCTCATGAAAATGATCAATAATATTTATCCTATATGAAGGAAAATGTCTATTTCAAATTAAAAGAAAATTGTCATTTTCACATTTTTGTATCCAATAGTAAAAAGATAAAAATAAAAACGTCATTTTTCATGTCAGCACGTTTTATTGATTATTTTTGTTATTGTTCGCCGATTATGAATAAAAAAGTTAATTGGGAAGCATGTAATAGTCAGCTATTCGTCCAATTTACTCATTTAATACTTTTATTGATTTCCTTTCAACCAGTACGTCGTAAAATTATTAGAATTTTAGGTTATCTTCCTTATCACTGTAATCTCAGATTAAGTCCTTATGTAGTATAGTTGTTACAAAATAGTGTAATGGCTTCGATTTGTCCATTTATTAATAGTTAAAACGAAATTACAATGTTTCAAATGGCAAGGTCATTCACACTTTTTTGACAGCTGTAAAAAATCAATAGTGGGCCAATGTATTATGCGAACTTCCTAGTTCTTTACGAATCTATGATTTAACTATTATAACAAAATCTATAGTAAAATGAAATCCTTCACATATTCTTCATTGATTCTAAAAGCTACCTATTTGTTTCTACATCACTCATTTGGTGCAACAATGGCGTAATTACACTTTAACAATTTTTAAAGGAGAGCCGATTAAAGATTTGTATTCGATGTATGGCATTTTGGGGAGACTCATTATAATCTGAATCATTTTAAAAGTAAGTTTCATTTGTGTTGATTCTATTAGAGCCTCAATGGTTTCCGTGCATTATGTATTACCTAAATTACAGGCATGAATAAAATGACGTGTATGTAAATACGTCACTGTTTCTTCAGAATTCAATTTAAGAAATATTGCATGCGCTATGGGATTTTACATTTGTGACAAAATAAAACTAAATAGATTAATAAATCAACGTCAATATTTATTTATGTATGTTTAAAATCAGTTCAAAAGGTAGGTAGGTAATTTCTATTCTACCAGGTACTTATTGAAATATTTAAAACAGCTAACACCTTAAAACAACGAAATTCTTAGTCATTAAAATCACAATGTGTAGGACGTAATGGCACTAAAATCACAGCTTAATTGCTTATCTACTTTTATCTTATAATCTACTATTAACGAATAATATGAAATTATAATAATAAAGGAGTAAAATATATTAAAAAATACTATCGTAAAAGGTGGAGTAATACCGAGGAATAATGTTTTTCTGTAAGAGCTCTTTTAAATCATTTTTCTTTTTAACAGGAATATCTCTTCTTGAATTATATACCGGCGTCACAATTATATCACGTATGTCTCTAGTTATTCTTTGGCTTGTAGATCTTTGGCTCTTTTTTTTAATTTCAGCTTCAATCCAGTTATCGTCATACTTAAGTTTATACCTGTATACTGCATCATTATCTTTTCTGAATTCTATTGCCCTTATATCCGAAGTTTTTATCGTATTCCCTTCCACATCTTTGAAAGTGTTAAGTTCAATCTCGTCCGTTAATTTTTTGACGTCATAAAAATCATCGAAATTTAGTTCTTCAACAATAAACTGGTTACCTTTTTTCTTTGCAGACCTTATTATTTGGACATACTGATCTGGCACGTAAATAGCACCAGATTTTTTAGCTTTCTTTATAGCCTTTTCAATTATAGAGTGAGCAGTATCGCCTTCATTTTGTGTATGACCTCTAATTAAAAATTTATGTGTAATTTTATTGACGGCAAGAGTTTTGACGGCATACAAATACAAAGAAAATATAAATCTGAAAAAATAAATAAATATAATTATTATAATTAAGACACGACACATTTACCACTGAAAAATATACGATAATAAATATAATACAAACCTGTTCTTTTGTTGACCACCACAATTGTCAGTATAAAATGTTATGTTACTGCCAGGATGATTAACAGCTAGTTGTCGTAGGTATTTCAAAATACAGGAACCGATTTCCGTTGCTCCTCTACTTCCCATAGCTTCATGCCAAAAGTAACAATAAGTTTGGTCTTCTTTTATATCTGTCACCTATAAAACAAGAATGTTATAAAACTCGTTGTGAGGCACGAAATAATATTTCGAATAATAGCAGATACATACTGTCAAGTTGAAACAGTTCAATTTAGACTTATAATAAAAAGATGACGACTCGCCAACTGGCACCGGCATAACTGCTTGAAGATCATAAATTGCGACTATCTCATTACTGTCCCTATTTCTACTTAATTCTATGTCAGTCTTCTTTTCCATTCGACTGAGTAGTTTCTGCCGGCAATGTTCTGTATAGTTAGATTCTAGTTTCTCTTTATCCTCTCCAACAGCATTTTTATATTGTTCACAGACATCACATTGGTCTTTTTTTGGAGTAAAAAAAGAAATATTAAACTCGGTATTAAATGTGCGAAAGTATGAATCGTAAGTTGCAGCCTCTTTGTTTTCTAATTCCCTTATTCTTTTATAGTCACGATGTAGATCAGCAATACTTAAGCCACCATCAATAAATTCTCTATTAGTATTGGCACGGAGATAGTGACTTTCAATTCTACTTATTGAATTAATATGAATTCGAACAGACTCTTGTACCTCAGAACAGGTTTTTTTATGATTTTCATGACGACCACGTTTGTCAATTGGTGCTACTCCGTTGGAATCAATATTGGTCTTAGCTTCAACGACTGTACGTAAAGTACGTTCTGAAATACCCAAGGTATTCAACAAAAATAATTTGCATACTCTAACACTCCTACCGCTAGATATTAAAGAATAGGAAGTATTCGGTCTTTTGTTTTTTTCTACATTAGTTTTTAGACGCCTTTGTGCTAACTGAAGTACAGTTATTGCAGAATTCAAAAAATCACGTTGTCTTTGAAGCGAAGACAAATCCCAATACATTTTGAAAATCTCATATCTTTAGCCCTCTGCAATATGTTCCGAACATTTATATCTGCATTTGTTGGAACAAGGAGGCTTCATCTCTTTTGCCGAAATGGTCTTGCCCGTCCTAGAAATATATTCCTGGCCTGAATTCTTTAACTGAGCACGTTTATTTTTCTTCCAAGACAATGGGTTTCTTTGCCTTTTTTTTGGTTTCATAGGAGGTGATGCTCGGCTTAGATCCATGTCATTAGGTTCATCGTTTTGAATATTATTGGTAACTGAAATTTCTGCTGGTGAATCCTGAAAATGATTATAATTTACAGCACTGGAATGGTTTTCTTCATTTGGAATAAAAGGTTGATTCTGCGACAAAATTGAATCACTGTGCCGTGAGGTGTTCCCAGAAGATGTAGAACTTGATGAGGAACAAGAGCTCGATGACGAGGAAGAAGAACTCGATGATGAGGAAGAAGAACTCGATGACGATCTCTGTCTTATTTTCATTATTGGGCGTTTAGCTTTTTCAGGGCGGTATTCATCTCCACTGTCGTCTGGAGAAAAATCTTCTTCATTTTCATTCATTGGCGGTATATTACAAGTTGGTGAATAAGTTTTGGCAACCTCATTTGGTGAAATAGGAGATGGAACCGCAGTTTGGTCAACGGAAGTTGGTGAATCGGGTGTTTTGTCAACAGAAGTTGATGGAATAGGTGTAGGAAAGCTTGATCCACCCATGTCTAAGTCAGGTAAATTGTGTTCTGGTGTATTATTTATTTTAATTAATTTATTTTTCGATATGAATATATCTGTAACAATGATATTAATGTTTAAAAAAATATAGTAATGACCTCGTTCTAGGCAAAGGACTCATCCCACTGAGATATTAGGTATAAGTACAGTGAGGAGGTAAACATTCGATATAATTTTATATAATTCGTAATAAATATTCAGAAATTCCCTTAGCATATGGAAATAAGCAGGTAAAACCAAGAATACTAGCAAGCACTAGCAACTAATCAAAGTATAAATGTTAATTTACAGTACTTACCATCATTACATCGTTTCCTAACTTCTGGAGTATCGTGAGGGTTAAATGGGGGTACTATTGTACAACTATTAACCATTCTTCTTGCACGGTTATCCATCTTGAATAATATTATTGTCTGAAACTTTATGTACTTACAGTTAATCTCATAGGTATTAACTATGACAGACACTATTAAATTCGAAAAGTTCTGTTATAATACCCGTAGAACTATTTAATCATCTGCCTTATCGAGTGGTCAGTGGCCAATCTGTGTCAGAATTTTTCAGATCACTCCATATATATTAGGTTCTGACATTATCTCACAACTGCTATGAAGATAATAACAACTGAAACCGAATTTTTACGCGCCCTCCGAACCAAGGAGATGCTCAAATGATATACCACTACACGGCCACGTATCAATGGTATGACTGCGCCCTGGTAGCTTAACCTCACTTATCTTTTGCCGGTCAGTGAGTGCACCTGGCTATAAACGCCGTTACATCAATATTTCTACGGGTATTACAATAGTACAATTAAATATACAATAATACTTTGTCTATGTCTAAAATACATAAGTTCATTAATTGGAGCGTTAACGACATAATTACACAATTATGACATCTTTTCTACAGTTTAATAATTAATCTGGAGGAAAAACGACGTATTTACTTCTATTTGTCATTAAACAATCAACAAATATTATGTTTGGAACTACAATGACATATTTACGTAATTATGTCGTTGTTTCTCCAAAAAATATCATATTCAATGTCATAATTACCTTTACGACGTTGTAGCTCCCAAACACAAACACACTCAGCGGGGCGCCCCGCGCAAATGGCCGTTCAGTCGTTGTAGAATCAGAAATGGCGCCATTTCGTTCAATTCAACAACGACACTAGCGCCGTCTCGCGGCAAATCTCCAAAAAACATTTCGGTCGATGTTTCTCCGGGTGTAAATAGACTTTTCGAACATAATGACAATATAACTTTAATTTACAAAAAAATGTAATTACGACGTTGTTGCACCAAATGAGCGACATGATTTTCCTGTTGTTTCCTTGTTATATGTTTATAACTATTATTCATCTCATTCCAATAAGATGTCTTGCTTGAGATGTAGATCTCTCTGTAGATCTACATTCATCTTATATTATTGTTCTAGCATAATCATAAAACATCATATTTTCCATATTTAAAACAAATCTTAAAAATAAAAAGAAAACAATCATATTATTTACAGGTAACAAAACTATTCCCTATCTATTTCCTCATTGTTGAGACAAAAAAAATCAAGTAATTAATTCCATTTTATAGAAAACATGTTCTTATAACTGTTTCAAATTAATCATCTACTTAATTTCTACCAGTGATGCCTGACCCCCTGGAGCATGCTACTGGTATGGAGAGGAAGGAACTGCTGGCCATGCAGGCCGGCAACGATGATCCCTTCAACATGAAGGTGCTGAAGAAAGCCGCTGGAACCCGCGACAACCCCACCCTAGTGCCCTCTTGCTTTGACGCCCGTATTGTTGGGTGCATATGTAAGTACACAGTTTCACATACTTACAAAACCTCATGCTTATCTCCCATCGGGCAATGCACAGACTATAGAACTCGGTTTTAGCTACAATTTACTATTGCATACCATCTATAAATTATCTTTTCATGCCTATGTTAGTATATGAGAGAATTACCCTTTTTAGTTGATATAAAAAGTCCTATTAACATCATATCTTTTCTAAATTGAACAGAGACAGAGGATAGAGTAACACAAAAGATTAACACTGATCTTCTTGACTGAAAAAAGTTCCTAAATTTAACTTAAATCGCGAGTTACTCATGTGAGAAAAGCTGAGTACGGCTTACTCAGCTTTTCTCTTAGTAAGTTCATTTAGTATGTCTCACGATAGTTATTATAAAAACGTTCTGAAAATTATATTGAAATACCTAATATTTATTGGTCTTTCAATAAAAGTACAATAATTTTATTTATTGTGTTGTTACATTGTTTAGTGACATTAAGTGCTGTAATATGCACCGCTGCCTATACCCCTTGGGGATAAATGCATGATGTTATGTTATGTAATTCTATTTACAACATTATCATCATCGCATTACCATCCATTGATCTCAATCTTCAGTTTCAATAACAACAATAATGTCATTATAACTGACCACACCCATTGGCACTTACATAAAACTCCCAACTTGATTGCAAATAAGTGCTTGACTGATAAACTGTAGACTGATTTACCTAACATTTGTCTGTTAAAACACTTGACAGGTAAATTTTCTGTATTGGTTTATTATTTAGTTGTATGAACTTGATCATCTATTTGTTTGTACAAAAAACTATCTTAACTTCTTTAACTTTAGTGTTCTCACAATGCATCTGTCTTATAATGTGTGTAAAATTATGTGATTGTATTTGCACTCAGTGTCACATAAAACTATGGTAACATTTTAGATTGTTTTTTTCTAACATTGCTCCACACCAGGATTTTCTCCTGTGTCATGGTTATGTTTACGAACATACAAGACTACAAGTTCACACACACTTGACATCCAGACCTAGGCATGCAGAAATTAATCTTTTAATGCTTTAACTCGTCGAGTACCGTCATTATAGACACAATTATAGAACAATAGGTTGCGGTCACCAGTGACCGCTTGGTGTTTGACAGTTTAAAGAGTTTGTACTTAACTCGTCAAGCACCGTCATTATAGACACAATTATAGAACAATAGGTTGCGGTCACCGGTGACCGCTTGGTGTTTGACAGTTTAAATCTTATACTATTATATAAAGCGGAAGAAGTTTGTTTGTTTGAAAGCGCTAATCTCCATAACTACAAGTCTAATTTCAATAATTCTTTTTGTGTTGCATAGCACATTTATCGAGGATGGGTATAGGCTATAAAACATCACGCTACAACCAATAGGAGCTGAGCAGACCGTGTGAAACCGCGCGGAAGTAGCTAGTCTATTGTAAAAATGAATCTAATTCCCCTGCATCTCTGCCAAAATTTAAGTTTATCATGACCGATAAAGGTCTGGTTTTCAAAATAACCATTATAATATTCCAACACATGTAATTTTAGTGTCATAGTTGTAAATATACAATCAATAATATATACTAGTCAAAACAAAATAAGGGCCACTTGTTATTTTTAACAGCGGCAGCGATAATTTATTTTTTCTTCGTACTCAAGTAGCTGAATGGTTATTACAGCGTTACCTTATTTGTTTACAAACATTTATTTAAGTGTTCTACAGGCATAACTCTGTGAAGTGGGCAGTTTTTGATAATTTATTGTACCCACTTGATTTTACCCGATTTTAAGATGGATTTTAAGTCAGTCAAACTGACGATTCTGTCAAGAACAGTTTAGTTTTGTTTTACTTCTGGCTGAGTTATTTCTTTAACAAAGATATGCCGAGAATCCGACGACATATGGACTTACCAACCGTAACTAGGGCCGTAACATTACTTCAAGAAGGCCATTCGCAGCGTTCTGTTGCGATGCAGCTGGGGTTTTCTCGGCGAGCAATTCAGAATGCTTGGAATCGATTTCAAGAGACTGGGAGACTAACCAGGAGACGGGGATCTGGCAGAAATCGAGCAACTACCGCACAGGAAGACCGCTACATACGTTTGACTGCGCGCAGAGAACGCTGCATCACAGCCCGTTCCTTACAAAACCGTTTGCGACAGGCTACGGGTACACGTGTTAGTGATCAAACCATTAGAAATCGGTTACACGAGGACCAGCAGTTCTCTAGGAGACGTGTAGTGCGGATACCATTGACAAGTGCTCATCGTGCAAACCGATTATCGTTCGCAAGGCAGCATCTGGCATGGGATATGAGTGAATGGAGCACAGTATTGTTTACGGATGAGTGCAAAGTAAAATTTTTTAGTGATGACCGTCGCATCAGGGTCTGGAGGCGTGAAGGTGAGCGATTTTCGGATGCTTGTATCCATGAAAGTGACAGATTTGGGGGCCCTAACGTTATGGTGTGGGGAGGAATCTCTACATCAGGTAGAACTGAGTTGATAATTCTCAACGAAGGCACAATTACAGCTCAACGTTACATCGAGGAGGTCATAAGACCTCATGTGGTCCCATATGCACAAAGAATCGGCGCAAGATTCCGTCTGATGCACGATAATGCTCGCGCTCATACAGCTAGGGCCACTAGAGAAGCTATAGAGGAGGCTGGTATACAGGTGTTGCCCTGGCCTGCAAACAGTCCGGATCTCAATCCCATTGAACACATGTGGGATTTACTCAAACGCAACGTTCGAAGCACAAACCAACCCGTGCACAATGAAAGACAGCTAATAAACATTTTAAAATCAAGCTGGGAACAAATTCCTCAAGAAACAGTGGTACACTTGGTGGAGAGTGTACCATCCAGGCTTCAAGAGTGCATTAGAAAACGAGGAGGGCATACTAAATATTGAGGAGTTACAATTCAACCAATATCTGATTTGTTTTTCTTTTTTCATTTAATTTTATTTCATACGTTTTGCTTGCAAAAATGTTAGTTTTTCAGAAAAAATGGTATTTTATTTTTTTGGAATGTGGCTTTCATCATTTTGTGCTGTTAATAATAAAAAACAGTTAATTTATCAAATCTAATCATTAATTAACCCTTAAACCTCAAAATTTCATGAAGAAACTATAAAAACGTGGTGGCCCTTATTTTGTTTTGACTAGTATATTTTATAGACGTCATTACAATTATGGCACAATGCCAGTGTAAAAACTGTGTGTCACATGCTTTGTACTATTCCGTAGCAACAGCATACATTGAAGAAGTTATTATATATATATTTTTTTAATAAATACTTATTTTACTTATTGGACTGCCGGGCAACGGGTCTCGGGTTCAATTCTCGGGTCGGGCAAAGTACTACTGGGTTTTTATAAATTCTCAGTAGTAGCACGGAGTCTGGAATTGTGCCCGGTATATGGCAATAGGCTCACCCCTATTACATGGGACTCATAACATAAATAGTGAAAAGTGGGTGTTACATTGTACAGTGGCATAATATACACTTTTGCCTACCCCTTCGGGGATAAAAGGCGTGATGTTATGTTATGTTACTTATTGGAACTTTAAATAATTCTAAGTTTAAAATTAGAAACCTGTTGCAACTGAACTGTTTCTATTAGGACAAGAATTTTTCCGAGGTTATTCAATGTAAACTTTAGTTCGTCAACGTGTCGCGGATTCGATTCCCGCACGGAACAACTGAGTGATCTGCTTTGAAGATTGTTGTTTCGGGTCTGGGTGTGATGTGTATATGAATTTGTATGTTTGTAAACGCACCCACGACACAGGAGAAAATCTTAGTGTGAGGCAATATTTATGTATTTAAAAAAAACTTCCTATATTCATTGCTATTAACCTCATCAATCCCCAAGTGGTCACCGGTAACCACTCTCCACTATCTCCATTATAGACTTTATTTCTGGTGTACATTAGAGACTACTTTTGTATGAACAAATTTTGGGAATTCATATCAGGTGATTTGTGCAGCCTTCATACATTAGATTTGTCATAGGGGCTTAGTTACTTAGTAAGACAATACTGTACATAGGTAATAATAATTGTTGATGAATTTACGACTGATTGTTTACAGGTGAAGAGCACGCCACAGCCGTCACCTGGCTCTGGTTACACAAGGTAATGTCTTTTATTTGTTATTTCCTTTATTAACACAAAGGTATTTTTTACAATGAAATTAAAATTAAAAACCGCCACTCGCTGTAATAATAACAATAATTGTTTAGAATAATATCTATTGGTTTGAAAATATAGTTACAAATTACAATGGCAAAATATAATGAAGCTATAAATAAATTCCTTGTGTGGTATTGCCATGTATAAAGAAATTATAATTAAGTATATGCTATGTGTATTTTTAGTTCTCCTCTCGCGTGTTTCTCGTACACACGGGTGTACGAGAGAGTTGTGTGCCCATCGCGCAATTGTAAGTACACACGGGTGTACCGAGAAACGCGCACCGATTGGATATTATTTCTGTGACGTATATTTTCAAGTTTGCAACCCGTTCTTTATTTGATTGAACAGAATAGTTAATTCGCTTTTCTATTAAAATATTTACCCGTGTGTACGAGAGGCGCGCGAGAGGTTAATATTATATGCTATTAGTAAATAAAAAACAAATAATGCCATGTTACATTACTAATTAATATTTTTTCTTACAGGATCACCCCCGCCGCTGCGAGTGTGGCCACTGGTACAAACTGATTGAGAAGCAGCCCGTCTAAACGCGTCTAAATATGTTTAGTTTCTATAGTAGTGGTGTAACACGCAATAATGCGCATCGCACATCCACAGTACACTGCCAAGTGTATAAAGTATTTACCAACCAAGATGCGTTAGTTGAACATAATTACCAAAATCGACAAATCATTAAATAATTGTAAGCATACTAAAGTGTTTTATTGCCTTGCGTTAGAAGTGTATTTGTTGGTTCACTTTGTCAGTGTAGTTTAATAAACAATCTTATTTACGGCGTTGGAAATTTTATTTTTATTCATTGTTTTCCAAAATTCCTCCTATCCTACCGTAGCATTCCGCGGAAGACTTAAAGGGTAGTCGGGGCTCCAGCTCGAAGAGTAGGACCCCTACCTATACTTATACTCTTTGGAGTAGGAGTAGGAACGGGGTGGTTATTAGTCTAGAGTCTGACACTCCCTCCCGCCTCACCCAGGCGGGCATAGATGCAGGCGGGAGAAGCCATTCGATGATCTTCCCCCCTTAATCCTAGTATAACATTCACCAGATGTAGATGCATGCAATATAGAGGAACCTAAATCATATAGCTATTCTAGTTCTTATTCATCTGACTTCAGTAACTACTATGACTCATTATCAAGAGTAGGATGAGACCTGGATTGTCCAGAGGAAAAGCATTTGATTAATCCCAGAAATTGCCTGATCTATTTATTGTAAACATCACACGATGCATCCATAGTTTCATACCGGTTTTCTATAAAGCTGTGGTTTTACCTACTTTGCTACGCCGTTTTCCCTACATGTAATTAAAATCATAACCCTCCTTTAGACCTCGCCGTAGTCGGGTAAAAAATGTGCACTTTCTTTAATAAGAAACCTTAAGAGTATTTAACCAACTGTTAATTATACTCTAAGTTTAAAAACAAAAATACTAAACTATCAATTTTCAACAGATTTTTATTAATTTTCATGTTTTTTTATTACTATAGTTTTATTGTTCCATTTCCCAAAAACTACTGAGTCAGGTTTAAAAAATGAATAGCCACGTTAGAGTCCATTTCACGAAAGAAGTCCCGCGGACAATTGTGGAACTAAATTTGACAAATGGGGAGTTCGGCCATGTTGTCGTTTGTCGATGTTGTCAAGGTGGGTTTGTTGTGGTAGATATTTTGTGAGTTTATTATTAAATTAGTGCATTATAAGGTTTATTTACGATGCCAAAAGTTGTAAAAAGTGCAGGTCGAGAAATGATATTAAAATTGAAAGAGTTCTGTGAAGCGGAACAGAAGAATCGCGGCGTTTTAATACCATTAGACAATGTTCGCAAAAGAGTTGCCGCCATAACAGGTAAATTTTGGGGCTGCCATATTAAACATATTTTTTACCAATTAGACTTAAGTTTTTTTAATGAGGAATTAACATAACACAACAAAAATTTGTAAAATTGTATTCAACAATAATATAATTAAATGCGGAAAAAGTCACTGTTAGATTTTTTTTAATTGTTCATTTTATTGCAGGTGTGTCGGAGAGTCGTGTGTTATAAACAGACGGGTAGCGGTTAAAAACGTGGGCCAAGATCCAAAAGAAATTGTACGCCTAACAGAAGAGGCGTTCGAGACTGTTACAGCGGAAGATTGGGCAGTTCAATGCAAACATGTACAGCATTTGGAGAAGAATATTTTTAAAAAATGATGGTCTTATGGATGAAGAAATGCATCGATTTATTATATCTACGGCTAGTGATAATGAAACAGAATCTAATTCTGTTTCTATTCAATCTTCTGACAGTGATCATAGTATGACCGATCATAATTCAATAAAACTTTAATAAAACTTTTTAAATGTTATTTTATGTTTCTAATTTGATGTTGGTTGAACATCTTTATTTCCATTTTATATTTTAGAAATTACAGGAAGATTAATTTTTCACTAATCTGACCTTAGCAGTATAAACATAAATACCTATATAAAAAGACATTATTTTTAAAATATTTCTCGAATAGTTAATCAAACTAATGTCAATTTCTCCTGATTTCCCCATACTATATAAATTTAACCGTGGCAACATTATGTCGCGCGAATACAGCGCTGCGTCTGCGGGACTTCTTTCGTGAAATGGACTCTACAATTAATCAGCTGTCATAATTATTTATGTCATGGTTGTCACTTTGTCAGTTGTCACTATTGTCAAATGGAAGTGCCGGAGCTCGGAGCTACTTCTATATAATTGAGTTTTCTATTCAAAAAGCGGAAAGTTACTCGAAATAAATCCGATATTTCAAACACATCAAGAAGTTATTGAACCTTTTGAGAAGTAAACTGAAAAGTTGATGGTAGTTTCCAATAAACAACCATAAAATATCACGAAACCTATTGTTTACCAACAAGCTAAGCATAAAAACATAAAAATTTAGTTTTTACAAAATTTCTCTAGGTAAGTATCACTGAAATCAGATTGAATAGTAAGTGATGCTGTTTTGTGTAAGCTATGTAATTAATAAATAAAATAGACTACTAAAACAATTACAAATATTTTTGGTAACTTTTGACAAAAATTTCAGTGTATAGCCATGTACCACCCACATATTGGAGCAGCGTACATAGCGGATGGATTCACGGATGATTGTGACGAGCTCATTCACCGCTGCCTTGAAGCTGGCACTGTCACCTTCGAAGTGTTCTCCGAAGTATGGAAGAGTATGGAGTTTTCGTGCATATTCCAGTAAGATCTCTTTTCTTACTTTTGTATTATGTATTACTATTAAAGCTAAATTAATCTGATTAAGATTATAAAAGCTTAAATATTTTTTAACATAGTAAACGCCATGGGGTTCGCTAGTGTCTGACGCTACAAGAGGATTTGCCTTCAAATTTTTTCTATTAACAGTCAAAGCCTTAAAATTTACTATTATAAATGTCATTTTTAAACTAAATAACTAAACAATGTATTTTCATTAAATTGTTATTAAACTTGTATGTTATACAGTAACAGATCTTCAGGCGCAGAAATTGCAGAACTGAGTGAGGAAGTTATACATATTGCCAAAAACTATATGTTAGCCGATACTAGTAATTTTGAGGTAAACCTTAATTTCATTTTATGGCTTTTCTGTGATTTTTAACAACTGTACAAAATATTAGTGGTCACCTAAAAGAGACTAAACCCCTGGCAACAAATTTGTTCGTAGAGCTGATTACTTATATATAAGCAAGTATGATTCATCATCTATAATCTACATTGTCCCACAATCCCATATAAAACGGAGTGTTTGGATTTTTACCAAAATAATTGGTCATTTTTCTTTTGACGCTAACTAAATTACTAAAAACTTAATTATTATGTTTTCCGCTTAGTCTTAGTCACGTAACTGTGTGACGAGTAAAATGTGATGTGAGTGTGGTGTCTAAATTATTTTAGAAAGTACATATAACTCGGAAAATGTCACGTTGGTACTTGCCATTGGTAGGTTTAGAACTCGCACCCTCATTCATGGGAAGCCTCATGAATGAGGCCACCGAGACAATAATATGTGACTAACAATCCTTACTAATATTATATATAAATCGGAAAGTGAGTTTGTTTGTTTGTTCCGATTTCACGCCGTAACTATTAAACCAATTGCTTTGAATTTTTGCAGACATAAAGTTAAATACCTGGATTAAATAATAGGGTACTTTTTATCCCGGAATAATTTGATATTCCCGAGGGAAAACAAAAGCATTGGTATAGATGGCGATGTATGTATTGGTGTACGTCGCATAGGCTACTTTTATTTATTTATTTATTTATTGCAAAATGTATATACATAGTGGTATTATACTACTAGTACAGTACATCACCCTGTTAGGGCGCAGCAATTTAACTTATAAATAATAACTAAATAATCATCTAATATATTATGTACTTATTCTATTCATTATTAACTTAATTACTCACTATAAACTTATTACTATTAAAATTTCTTATTACTTGAGGTATACCTATATGATACAATTATATCCTTTTTTATCCTTTTGTGACGCGAGCGAAGCCGCGGGTAAAAGCTAGTAATAATATAAACTTCTTAATATTCCAGGAATCGGTAATAGGCCTCTTCCTAGTCTACAGTCTCCTAAATCTCCAGCCGTATGCCAACTTTGCACATCTTCGAATAGTTCAGGATGATCTACCGGCCATACAGAGGATAGAGGTAGTAGCCAGGCGAGATCGGAGACAGGATGTGCTCTATATCCTGGGATCAATACTTATACAAGGGCCTGTGCAGTACCAAGCTGTGCTCAGAGAAAGGGGCATGGAATATCCTATCAAGAAGTATTTAGAAGGTATGTTACAGAAGGTGATTTTTGGTTTTATGTGGGAGTGCTATGATGCTTCGACACATAATAGGTCGGGTCGATGGAAGGGATATAAATATGAGGCACACAGGAAGACTGGCGTGAAAAACCACTTGTATCACTTAAGAATGCACTTATTTATAGAAGAAAGAAAGACAATTGGTTTGTTTGCACACCATCACTAAGGGGAGGTGTAACTCTTGTTAGGCAATAAGTAGGCAATAAGCAGCCCTGATTGCCTACCATCAACTGAGGGCTCAGTACGAGTTTGTTTAACGTATCAAGTAATCGAAACGAGACCGCGTTCGGTACTCGGATTGGCCGACTCCAATGAACCAATAAACCGCGTCCGGCGCTGTGTTTGGTTGGTTTATTGGAGCCGGCCAATCAGAGCCACGAACGCGGTTTCGTTTAGATTTCTTTAAACGTAAAACAAATCCGTACTAAGGTCCCAGATCCTTCTAGTTATTTACTGTCTGTAGAAACTAAAAGGATAAATATCTTGCCCGCGTGTATGTCATTTGTATGCAAGTTTAGTCTGTGAGTAAAAAATACAATGTTAAACGCCATTATGCCATTATGCAACATTATGCCCGCTAGGGTTAGTATATAGTTTGTACAGCCCTGGTCTATATGAAGTCTACTACTGAACAAAACTCTAGTAGACGTCTTCCAGCTATTGATGATGATGATGATACCTTAGTCAGAATCAAAGTGTATTACTTTTCTTCTTTAATAATTTTCCATCGCACTTAATTATAACATTATAGAGTTTAAAATTGCTGAACAATTTACGCATAATTATTTTTATCAGGTTACGGGGGTGTAGACAAGAAGGATGCTCGACCTAAAGGAGTGTTCTACCGTCAGAACACTGAGCTGGATCTCTTGAAGGAGTTGAAACATCTCACTATTCGGTACTGCAACGCTAAAGAAAATATTACTGGTAAGTGCCTTGTGCTGCAGACAACCTTGCAGGTTACCGGAGCTCCAGCTCCAATTGTTGTACCACCACAGATGGGGCCCAATAGGGCTGATGCCGATAGGGAGCCGCGGAGAACTTAACGGGTTAGCGGGGCTCCGGCTCGAAGTGCTGGAGTAGGAAATAGTTGTTTTTAGTCAATAAGGGTCTGACCCTCCCTCTCGCCTCACCCAGGCGGGAGAATTATTGGATCTATGGTGGTCTGATGGTTCTTTGAAGTGCGCGCATAACGCGGCGGGTCTGGTTCTGGTCGGGCGGCGAGTCATCCGTACTCGCCGTCCGCAGTCCCGTGCTTACGGTGGCCTGGTAATTTCTGCTACCCTATTCTTTCTTCTTCATTTCTTTTAATAAATTTATTAATTTATAACACCGAAAATATTTGTAAATTGATATACTTGTCTTATAGTTCTTTTGTTAATTAATTTTCAGGTGTAAAACCAGATGACTTAAGCTATGTGGATCCTAACTTTGCCATAAACTTGGACAAGAGTCTGAGGAACGTTATCAGCGGGATATATGACAACGATGAACAGGATATTGATGATGCTCATGATGGTAAGAAAAAATATCTATACAGATAAATAAAATTGGAGTGCATGTTTGTAATATTAAAATAACCGCTTATTACTACATACATATGAATATACATACTATGCACATACCAAAATAACATTTTGTACAATTTTTTGTCTGTCTGTCTGTTTGTTTGTTTGTACTGGTTAATCTCTGGAATGGCTGAACCGATTTTGAAGGGTTTTTATTAGCAGTTAGCTGATTTACTAAGGAGTAACATAGGCTACCTTTATTTTGGATAATTACATAATATACTAATTTCAAAGTATTATTGAAATTAGTGTGTAATCCTGAATCCCCAACGATCCTCAAACTCCTAATCCCCAAAAGGCCGGTAACACACTTGTAACGTCCATGGGCGACGCATATTGCTTACCATCAGGTGATCGGGTTGCTCGCCGGCTTATGCCATAAAAAAAAATCAAGTGGTCGGGTTCGATTCTCCAATCCAATAAATTAGTATTGACCTGACAATTTGTCATGGAAATGTAGTGATTTAAAGCAATGGACTCAAAAGAAAACGCTCAATTTTATTAAATGTGTATATTTTTGTTTATTCCTCAGCCGATTCTACCAACAGTACTGAATTAGTTAAAAGTATAAAGAAGAAGGCGATGCAAGCCAAGGTTAAGCCACTTCGACATCGGATGGATGTGGCGTCCAGGTATGTATCAATTAAAATATAAATTACCATAAATCCCCCGAAAATTCTGTAGGTTCGCAAGGAAACATATATAAACAAATGATTATTCCAATACACTGAAAACTATTATTACTTTTAAGAATTAAATTTACCAATGGCGGGAAAATTACATGATTTGACAGCTACACAGATTATTGTTGACATAGACAAATCCGCAGCAGTTACCCAATAAGAAAAGAAATCACTAAAATTAACAATATCTATTTTATTTTGTTTATAAATGACAACAAACAGCAGTATATTAAATATAACATTATATTATAATAGTAATTTGTTCCCTATTTCAACTAATTGTGACGTAATGATTATTATACTAAAATAACTTTTTCAACAGAGCAAGCCAACAGGCTGCACAAGTAAACAAAACGTCCAACCCCAGGACGTACAACAACCCTCGAAATAAAGCCAAGAAACGGATCAGGAAAGAAGCAACCAATTCAGATGAGAGCGACGATTACACAGTCAAACATGATTCAGACAAAGAAGTAGAAGATGATATTTTAGATCTGACAACATTCAACCAATTGTCATCCGAAGCCAGTAATTTACAATTTGAATCTTTACCAGAAATCATACAAAATGAAGACCAGAGACGGACGTATGAAATTGAAATCATTGACCATTTAAATCAGGCCGCACAATCATCTGCTAGCGCTGATGATAGTAGTCAAGAAATATTTAAACATAAACGGAACCTAAAAAAGACTATTGTAAAATCTAGGTTCAAAAGGATGGGTATGTTGCCTGTTGCCAATTTTGAACCTAATAAAGAGCCATAAAACTGTTTTGGTAGTAAAAATATTAATGGTAGAATATTTTAAGGCTGATTTTTCTTGGCAACACTGTGATCCTTATGTTACTTGTGTGTTAAAATCTATTTTATTTTGTTATTTTCTCCGTGATAATTACTTCATAGTATATTTTGTTTCTTGATTCTTTTAAAACAGAGATTGTACAATTTATTTTGTCAAATAAACGTTTAGGAGTAAATGTATTTTTATTCTGGCAATAATTATCACAATTTTAAATTGCGAATACCCTCATTTGCTGTAACTTCATTAACTTGTTTTTGTTTAAAGTTGTTGATAATCATTAAACTCGAAAGTGAAAGATATATTAAATAATAGTGGTAATAAAATCTGAATCAGGAGCAAGGTACGTAGTTTTACTTAGATTGTAAATGTGACCTACGGTGGGATTCGCGGGTCTGGCAAGAAAAGAAAAAAAATAACAGGTTTTTAACTCTGTTATATCATTCTCATAGGTAAGTACATAATGCGCACCTCTGCCTAAGATTTCAGAAATAAAAAGCGTAATGTTATCTACATACTTGTACTTTATACTTGTGTAAATGTTCGTGGATAACACTTAGGTCATTGTAATTTAATAACTATATGACTTACATTTTTTTTATATTTTTCTGATAACTGTTGGAACCTTGCCGATCACCTGCTACCATTTGATCGCCGGCTTCAGGTACACCGTGCTGTATATATAAAAATGAATTTCCGTTCGTTAGTCTCGCTAAAACTCGTAAACGGCTGCACCGATTTGGCTAATTTTGGTCTTGAATGACTTGAAAGTCCAGGGCAGGATTAAAAGGTAAAGAAAAATTAAAGGCGGTACGAAGCCGGGTCAGCTTAATAAATAAAACAGCAAAAAGTTTAAATACACGACATTTGTTTATTGATAGCTAATAGTTAGGTATAATATAATATTTTACTATACAATCATATCGTATTCATTGTAGGACACTTTCCTTTGAACTTCATATCTTAGGCCAATTCAAATGAAAAGAGGATTTTAATTATAAAGAAATTACACATCATTTCAGAGTTTAGTGAAAATGTCGCCAAACTCTTTGACTTCATAAATCGAAATTAATCACCGATCTATTTACATAATCTTTCGATTGATTGATTCTATACAATTCGTCGTCATCCCGTGGTGATTCCGAGGTTTAAGACGCCCGCTTCTCATGCATGAGTGTGCGGTTTCAAAACCTTCAACAACGGCATGTACCACTGTAACTTTTTCCGAGTTATATGTACTTTCTAAGATTATTCAGACACCACTGACAAACGGGGAGGGAAAACATCACGAGGAAACCTGGGCTTATAATTTCTAATTATAAGTTTGAAATTGCGAATCCGCGTTGAGCAAGCGTGGTGATCAATGCTCAAAAAACCCGTGTGAGAAGACGCCTTTAGTCAGCAGTGGGCCTTTATAGGCTGTTGATGTGTTAGAATTATTCATTTCGTCAGTTCAATTGAATATCTCTTTATTTAAATTGATTACTGTGTATACACAATTTCAAAATTACAGTTATTACAACCTAAAGAGTATTTTAGTGGTTACTTGAAAAAATTGCTATGTACTGGACATAGCAATTGTTTTGGGGACCAGTTTTTTATATTTAATGGGCCGACGTGTAACCACTATTTCGCGTGATGGTAAGCGACGATGCGGTCTACTATGGAGCACGTCGACCCATAACCAAATCACTCGGGCATTGAAGACACTCAGGATCTTCAGGAAATACATACAAGGAATAGTTTAAGTAATCATTAAGGCCCGATTTATGAATTATAAATTATTTAACTGTAGAATAACATTGCCGGTTAGTACGGCAGTTAGCCAAAAGATAATCAAAAAGTTTGACGACAATTCCACTGAATTACATCATTAATTATTTATTAACACATACAGTAATGCTGGGTAAAATATTAACATTCGAAAAATAATTCATGATATTAAAGTTAATGATTCATTAAGCTGTTTCTTAAGGGCAAGTAAAGCAAATAAATAACTTAAAAAAATATACAAAATACGCAGCAAATTAGGCCTTAAATTAAATATTGAATAATTAAATTGTTCTTTAAATAAAATTATTCGTACCTATTATTTGAAATCATAATGTCATTGCATCGTAGCTATCGGATTTTAAGAGCCGATTTTTCAAAAGTAATCGTAACGAGTACGCGTTCGGCACTCGTCACGATTACTTTAAACGTAAAACAAACTCGTACTAGGGCCTCAGTTAAATTTTAACTGAGGAATAACTTTGAATATTTGACAATTCTTCCATACTAATAACTGTCAAATGTCAATTTTATCCTACAATTAAGAATTAACTGATGATTGAAAATGGCCCCATGTAGGGACCTTTTTATGTCATACGAATTTCCGTCTACGTATCTATAAGGTCACCCCCTATTACATGGGTCTCATAACATAAATAGTGAAAAGTGGGTGTTACATTGTAGGGGCATAATGTTCACCTCTGCCTACCCCTTCCGGAATGAAAGGCGTGATGTTATTCGCATGACAGAAAAAATGCCTTAAGTTATTAAAATTCCTAACTCTCGTTATATCTTTGCTAAATAATTCTAGTC